AACACAACAACGTCGGTTGTAGCAGGAGTTGCGGGGCAAAATATACGTAGTGGGAACCAAGCTAAATACCGCAAATTCGAATAAGTTTCATACATAAGTGATTACTTTTGCAGATTGAATTATAAAACTCTATATTAGCGTTTCATTATGACTGCAGAGTTAGAAGCAACAACTCGTCTATTTAATAATATATGCATTAGTTTAGTGAATGCTGACACTTATATTTAGTCCCCAGCTATTTTGTTGTGTTATCTTCGTTGATACGTGTGCTTTATAAGATAGTTTTATATATCTTAAGCTACTAAATAATTATATGTGTATAGAAAGGAAAGAATGAAAACCTTATCAATAAATGAGTACCATAGGAGTTTGGTTTAAATATATAGATATATATACTAAGTAAATAACGGAACCCATATAAAAACAAAATTCATTTTTATTGTATAGAATTTTATTTTTAAATTTGATACGTTATTCCTACTGAAAATAAAAACTAGAAATTCTAATTTTTAACTACATAATTTGTTGCAAAAAAATTGTCATTTTGTTTTGCTTTTACTGATGATACTAAAACATTTTTATATTGAAGTAATAAACATGAATGTTTTTTGCTGGACAAAATTCTATATTATTAATTCATAAGAAACATTGTATATAATGGGGTTAAATAATTGTAATGAAGTTAATTTTGAATATATAAAGTAGAATAAATGATCGTATATTTAAAAATATTGCTAAATACGTGCGAATTACATCAAAAGATGTTGTTGTTGTAGCTTCAGAAAACATTCTTCAAGAAATTTCGAAGAATGGTGTCGAGTTTGACAGTCCTTAGCCGGATAAAATTCCCGGTCCATTCCGGTTACTTAGACCCGACTGTCGTGGGGACGGACAGCTATCAGCTGATAAAGCACTTTGGTTGTGTTCCTTGTCTACACAATGATTGGTAATGTCAACATGAGCGAAGCAATACTGCTGCTTACTAGTTACAAAGCAATCCAACATGAGGAAGGATATATCCTAAAAATTTGTTATATTTCGAAATGGTTCTTTAGTTTTATTCTTCTATAAACGTTTAAACAAAAATACAAAGTGACTACCAAATAACGGATAGCCATTGTAAGTGAGGATGGGTACATACATGAGAGTCTCAAATATGGGATAAGAAAGAGCAACTGTTTTTTTTGGTTAAGCATGTAAGTTATGCATACATGGGAGTGTCGAAGTACATAAAAGGTTACGAAAGATAATAAATAATACTAACTACAAACATCTTAAAAGTGATTTATTTAAATCATATGTTTATTTAATTAATTTTAAATGCAGTAATTCCAAAGAATGAGTACATTTTCATGTGTAGCATAAAATGCAAGGTTATGTCGCAATTGAACAATGGTATACATGATACACACAAAAACATTCCCTGCCATCATGTGCTGTCCCTTTTTTAGTATGTTTGTATGTACACTGCATGTAAGTTTTGAATGGTTTTCCATGTATGTACGCGATAGTAGTAATAATTTAGGTTAACTACAGAAAACTTTCGTCAGATATATAAATGGGTAAGTAAATATGTGTGTGGTGTGTTTACCTATGTGCACTCATATGTGTACATCTACATAAATATAGTAAATATTTACTAATGTTTCGAATTCCTATGCCTAATCAGAAGTTTTTAGTTCTGCAAAGAGAGAAGGTAAATAGTTAGGAAGGTAAAAGGTAACCAACTTATAGCATACTTATGTATATCACAATTATTCAAATTTCTGTCAATTGAAAGCGAACTTTTGACACTTTTGATGTGCAGGGTAAGATTTTTACAGGTAAAAACAGTGAGGTATTGTCATGTATATGTACATGTAAATATAGATTTTGAGCAAATTTTGCCAATTATAAATTTCGATATCTGTTTGATTTTGGCAACATATCATCGATGCTGTTGTTGTTGATGCATTTTTGAATTTTACAGGAATATTTGCACTAGCGTCTAATTTTATTGTCCGGCCATACATGCAAATGCTAGTTCATTTCTAAAACGTTTTCACGGCTGGAGATTACTTATATTTAATTGTTGTAAATTAGTCCAATATAGGACCGAAAAAGAAAATTTTTTATCGTTGATTAAACACATATACATATACATACACATATATGTATGTATATTTTGGTAATAAAAATCTGCATTGATTCTTTTTTTTTTGTTAATATTCAAAACAACACGTTATGTTAAGCCGAAATTTCAAACGAAATTATGTGAAAAATAATAGATAGTCTACAGCAAGCAACTTGATAATCAACAATAGTGTAACGGGTTTTTCGATAAATCATCTACCCTGCAACAGACTCTGGAGTTCGATCACTCAATTGTTAAATAAAAGTACCATTTATTAGCAATACATTTAAATTTATCTAGCTATATTATTATAGCATCTGGCATCTACAAATTTCGCTGTCTATTTGATTCTGTTAATTTATCGTCGATTCGATGTTGTTCTATCTTCCATGTTCGTCATGTGCTGAACACATAGAGATTGACAGACTTCAAACGACACCTCTCAAATTTTAAAATAAATACGTTCTTATAGACACAGTTATTTGGACAGCTGCACGACAGCTGGATCTCAGTTGTCGCTCTCCCTAATTTAAAAATATTTCTAAATTTACCGACGACAGTAGAGAGGAGAGGAGAGGATACCACTAATATGTAAAATGTACCATTATTGTGTACATATAAAATAGACGGCTGTGTTGTTTTGTGCACATGTCGGCCATTGTTATGTCGCTGATTTCTTACAAATGTTCATGTAGCAGGCTTAACGACGCCATTTACAGTTCACTGTTGTGCAGTCATGTCATGTAACATTACAACATATTATGCAATTTCCACAACAGCCGGGCCAACGCATCGGATTTGAACAGCTTTTATCCGGCCAAGGGCTGTTATTTCAAAGATCTAACCCCGTTTAGATCGATAAGTCTTAGTTCAACCTTAGTTTAATGCACTCTAAATTCTTGAATGTTTTGCACGAATTAAGCAATTTAATGGAAGGATGGAATGGATGAAAGTTCAAAAGTCGGTTGATTTAATATAATATAAAAGGAGTTAAATATTTTCTTCATATATTAAATGACCATTATAATGGGAATAATGAGTGACTTATAGACTTTGGTTTTTGTTCGTCGAGAGAGGACTTTACTTCTCCATTACCTACTCAGTAAATTATTTTCTCCAGCAACATATTGAAGAAGTCGCACGATAAGGAGTTGCCTTGTCTGAAACCGCGTTTGGTATCGAACGGTTCGGAGAGATCCTCCCGATCCTGATGGAGTTTTTGGTGTTGCTCAACGTCAGTTTATACAGCCGTATTAGTTTTGCGGGGATACCAAATTCAGACATCGCGGCTCCTTTCGTGATGTCAAATTCTCTTTTCTCGGTTCTTTTCCAAGGTTTCGCACATGGTGAATATCTGGTCAGTTTTAGATTTCCCGAGCTTAATGTTACACTAATAATGTTCAGTCAGTTTTTTGACGGTGGACTTTAGTCTTTAATACAATACACTCGATAGAACCTTATGTGCGATGTTGAGGAGCCTTATCGCGCGGTAGTTGGCGCAGATTGTGGGGGCTTTGCTGTTCGTCAGACGGGTAATTCCCATACGAATTTCTCGTGGACGGGCAATGAAACGTCTGCTTCATAGTCATCGATTGGAGAATCTTTCTCCTAGCGTTAGGCTAGAAAAGTGTTCCCTCCATAATTTTGATATGCTTTGGGCATCAGTCACTGAGTGCAAGAGTATGCTCCGGCCTTGAAACCTTCTATTAGTCGCCGCTTTTTTTCGAAGAATTTCCACCATTACTCCTCTCGGACAGCTGACAAGCTCTTCGTATCCATGAGGATGGAGTTATGTGTAGAAATTTACGCAAGTGAAGGAAAGTTCTCTGGAGACCCCCCTTTAATGATGACTTTGATCGTATAACGTTCGGTTAAATATACAGGTTTGATCATATTCTGTGGATCAGGAATAAAGGGATGTTCAACTTATTCCAGTGTGAGAGCGCCTCAAAATAAGCGTTTTTTATAACATTTTCCATTATAACCAGATCGAATAAAATAAGAATTTTCGGGCATTTTAAATAAAAACACCCAACATTTAGTACGAATAAAAATTACTATATAATGGTTATTTGTTATATGGAAAAACTATTTAAATCTTTTTAAAGTATATAATAACAACTGACTTTTGACCTTTGAATATCAAATAAAAGGATTTAAGCTTGTTAGCTCTCAATCATTAGAGGTTTTTAATCATTTTCCATTGAAAATAATACTATGATGCTTCAAATTACAAAACGTTTCATCAAATAAATTTTTAAATTTCACAAATTTATTTAATTTTCATTGTTTTACATTTTTTATAAGTGGTCTTGGACGATGCAACAAATCCCTCCGTTTACATATTTTTTGGTAAGATTTTAATCTGGCAATCGCTCGTTTCCAATTGATAAACGTCAAAACCACTGATCTCGATTAGCTGTCAAAGTTCAGTAGGTTTTGCCGTTTAACAATTGCTCTATCACTTCCAGTATATACCATGACTATGACGTCTATCATGATAGACGTTCTCTGAGTATACTTTACGTTCTCTGGCCAAACGTCAAAACCTTATGATCTTTGACAGTCGACAGGGAATGGCCAGATTGAAATCTTATCAAAAAATATGTATATGGAGCGATTTGCTGTCTCATTGAAACCACTAATAAAAAATCTATTACAAAACATTTACTAATTAAAGCTAACAAGCTTAATTCCCTTATTAAGTATTAAATGTTCAAAAGTCAGTTATTTTAACATAGCATAAAAACTTTATACTCCATATATTAAATAACAATTATATAGTAATTTTCAATCGTAAGAAAAGTGGGTGTTTTAATTTAAATGCTCAAAAATTATTTTTTTGTCCGATCTGGGTATAATGGAAAACGCAAATTTCGAGGTGCCCTCGCACTGGAATAAGTTGAACATCCCTTTATCTCTGGATACGGGTTTGATCAAGGAACAAAAAAATTTAAATTACTATTTTGGTGAATATTAAATGTGGGAATGTTTGTATTACTTTCAAAATTGTGTTTTGGGGTGAAAATTAGCAAAGATGAAATTGGGAATTTTACTTTTCATGTTTACCATGCCTTATTTACATCTGCATATAAATGAAGCCATCAAATTCTATCGAAAAGTAAACGGAATTATTTTTAAATGATTTCGTTATTATATTTTTATTATAAAAAGTTTTCTGATAAAATATATAAATTTGCTCAACTCTAATTAAATGATGTAAATATGTGCTTACAAGTGTTCAAAGTTCACCTAACGTTACAGTATGGGAGTTTGTTTACCATCTTCCCTTTGCAACATTTACTATAAAGATTTGTAGATGAGTGAGTAAAAAAGTATAATTCTTTATTTATATGAACACAATTTCAGGTATCAACTTTTGATTGTGTATTAATCCAGATGTTGAAATGATATCATCGTCAGGTACCAATGCAATTAAAATGTTCCAGAGAACACAATTCCTGAGAACTACGTTCATAAAAAGGCACATTTCATCAGCCCCTACAACGCTTAAAGATACAAATTACATCACAAAACATGTAAGATGAAATTGAATATAATAAAATGTTCTATTCAATATGTAATAATACAATTCAAGTTTGAAGAAATCTCTATTCCAGTTCCCTGGGGTCATCTTAAGGGCAAATGGTTTGGAACCAAAAATGTTAGGCCCATACTTGGATTGCATGGATGGCAGGACAATGCTGGTACATACGACACATTGGCGCCACTGTTACCTAATCATCTCGGATTTCTTTCAATTGATTTACCCGGTCATGGGCATTCCTCGTGGTTGCCTTTGGGAATTTCTTATCACTCTATTGATTACGTATCGTTATTGTTGCGAGTAATGGATTACTTTCAATGGGGCAAAATCTCAATGATTTGTCATTCTATGAGTTCTATAAATGGATTTGTATTTAGCGCCCTCTTTCCAGAAAAGGTTGATATGATGGTTGGGTTGGATGTTCTAAAGCCACTAGCACGGACTAGTGAAATATTAATAGATAATTATAAACGTAGTATGAAAAGTATAATTTTACATGAAAACCGTATAAAAAGTTCAGAGCCACCTTGTTACGATTGGGATGAATTGGTTGAGCGTTTATATAACGGTACAAACAAATCTGTTGAAAGGGAAGCATGTAAGTTTTTGTTAGAGCGAGCAGTTCGACCTTCTAAAAATAATCCTCAAAAGTATTACTTTGCACGAGATAGTAGATTAAAAATATCGTATTTTTATAGTTTTGATGAAGATGTACTATTAAAAATGGCCCGCAATATAAATTGTCCCTATATGTTTATTAAAGCATTACCATCCCCCTATTTCGAACCACGCCAACATTTTGATAAAACTTTGGAGATTATGAAACAAAATCCTCATTTTGAGTTCTATGAAGTGGAAGGATCACATCACGTTCATTTAAATGATCCAAATAAAATTTCTCCAATGATAAATACCTTCATCCATAAATGGCGTCCGTCTTAAATATAGAAAAAATTATGAACAATAATTCTTCCGTCTCTCATAATATCATATACATTATATATATATGTATATATAAATATCAAATACTACTTAACGGATCATTATGAAACTACTTATGTAAATTAGACACAAGTGATTTAATGCGAGCGAAGCTACACATACAGCTGGTTTATGATAAAACAGTGCTGTGAAGTATTATAGAGAGAATACATACATACATACGCACACGGGTAAAAATATTTTTTTTTTTTTCATTATTTTGAAGGTATTTTACATTTCAATCAAAAATTAGGTCGCTTTAACTTAATGCATCCGATAACTACTTGTCACCCGAAGAGTAATTATTTAAATAATTGAAAAAAATATGCTGCGTGAAATCAGGGAACGTTGATTGTTATGAAAACGTTGAAAAATTGTAAGCCTATAATTATACAATGTAATAAATCAATAAAATTGACAAACAACAAAAAAATTTATATACAATTTTATATGCTGAAATGTTAATTAAAGCAATGATAGACGACAGCTCCAATTTGCATTAGCGGGCTTAATTTACATCTACTTGCGCATTTGACCCATGTTAATGCATGTTAATATTGCGCAAAAATTTCGTGCATTTAGCTGAATTTACCAAATTTGAGTAGGCAACACTGTGTGCAAGTATATTAACAAAAACAAATTTTAATATTTACCATCCATTTTTCCAAAATTCTTAACTTTTTAGCATTACAATCAATTATTTCTTTTAATTTCACTCTGTTATCTTTTAATCCAGTTAATAATAATCGAATTTTTTTGTTAAATTTATATTGATGTTCCAAAAATTCCAAAATTTTTATTAATAATTTATCTTATTCATTTTTATTTAATTTTTTTTTTTTTTTAAATAAATAAACAAATTTCACTATCAGCTGTCTAAATGCACAAGTCTGCCGTCTGTCACCATGAAATTTCAATGCGCACAAACCGGAATTTTAAATTCGTAAATTATGAACATACACTGACGGACAAAAGTTTTGGCACCGCAGATGTTGGTTCCTCCTTCAGTTCTCTGTAGTTCCGTAAATATAAATTTAGGTTCTAATAATGAATTAGTCATACTCACCTCTATGTTATCTATCACTGTACTTAATTTCATTTATGTTATATCTGTGGTTGTTTTGTTACAATAGTTTAAATAAAAAGTGAATATATTTCATTGGACAAAAGTTTTAGCAGATTTATGTAGAATGTATATTTAAACATGGAAAAGAAAATGAAAATTTAATAACTCTCTTAATACTGCTCGGGAGCCACATCAGAGTCATAGTATAACAAAAGTATGTGCTTTGCTCTGCTCCGAGTTTTGTTAGGTATAAAACTAGGTAAAAAAAAAAACGAGAGCAAAAAAGGAAGTGCTGTGCTATGCTCTGGTGTAACAGTAGCAAAAAATTGGGAGCGGTAGTTGAGCAGAGCTAATAAAAGATTTCTTTTGCCACTGCTCCGCATGTGTTTGTTGTTGTTTTTTTTTTTTTTGTTTGCTATTTTCTGTTATAATATTTGAATTGATTGAATAATTCAACCAAATTTACCGTTCAAACAGCACATTCCAGGAATTATTTAGCGAACTTCAAAGCACCACAATGTGTACAAACTTTGTTCATTGCACCGATCACTGCGTCCTTGTTATTTCTGTAAATATAATCCTAATTGTAGTTGAACCCCGCAAGATTTAAATGTATTTTTTTCGTAATTCAGCTATTCGGTTTGGATTGGCATCAAGTATTTGCGTACGTTTTTGGATTGTCTCGGTAGCTCACGATGAAGATTTTTTTCCACTATCCTGTTGTAGGTGTGATTCATGGTCTTCTTTAGTTTCTACTATATATTTCTTCTTGTGGATATTCTGTTACGATGTTCTCACGATCATCAGCTGATTCGTTTGCTCTTTTTTCCATAACATTCTTTGATTTGGAGGTTTTTTACCAATACTTGCTTTTTTTGGTGGCATTTTTTATTTATTACAATTATTCTGCGAAGAAAGACGATTGGTAAAGAAAAATAGAACTTTCCGTTGTAATAATCAATGGAAAACCTTATAATATTATTTATTTTAATATACTTCAGTATACTTCAATATACTCCACTGTACTTAAATATGTTTCATATTGACATATATGTCCACAACGCGTGTGTCAACACAAATTTGGGTTATAAAACAATAGAATATCATAGTATATAAAAACTGTATTTGACAGTTCAAAACAAAGTGTTCCGATCAAACAGGAATCACAAACTTTACAGGATTACTCGTCAAGTCAAAATAAAGATTTCCTGAAAGTTTCATTGGAATTGGGCCAGCCGTTTCGGAGCCTACCCGGAACATATATACTTTAATTGTTATATACATATATACTCTGTGCCCAAAAAATAAGGTGACATTGTATTTATTTTGAAAATTCTTTACTTATTCTTCCAAATAAATTTCATCACCTTCAAAGTAATCCCCTCCCGATGCAATGCACTTATGCCAACGGATTTTCCAATCTTCGAAATACTGGTTGTAGTTATTTTCCGGGATGGCCTTCAGTTCCGTCTTCGCTGCGGCTTGAATCTCCTCTATTGTATAAAAACGGAGTCCCTGGAGCGCATTAGGAGGGCAGTATGGGATGGTGCATTATCGTGGGGTAAAAACCAAGAATTGTCTTTCCACAATTCCCATCTTTTTAGGCGGATAGCGTTACGCAAACGACGCATAACGTTCAAATAATATTCCTTGTTGACTGTTTGACCGGTTAGAAGGAATTCGTAGGCGGAAAGCATCGCTTCACACACTTCAACGCGACGCTTTTTTTCCGAAAAAAGGCTTGAGGCCCAAAACATCCTTCAAAATGTTTGGCAAATTGGTTGAGCCTTTCGATATGCCAACTTCATCAGCAAGGCCTCTAATTGTTAATGGACGGTTTTTCAACACCAATTCTTTGATTTGTTGAACGTCAGCTTCGTCGGTTGAGGTTGATCGTCGTCCTGGACGCTCTTTGTCTTCGACACGTTCACGGTCGGCTTGGAACTCACTTGTAAAATTTTTTTTTAGACATAGCCTCATCACCAAAGGCTTTCTGCACCATCCTCAACGTATCCGCAGTAGAAAATTGATTCCGTAAACAAAATTTTAAAATTTAATGCAAATTCTTTGCTCAACAAATTTCGACATCGCTAAAATACAAAATATAGGCATAGGTATAACTTTAAAACAATATCAATATTAAATTTCTTTCTATAACTTTTGGCCCTTGCTACTATTGTGAGCTCTTTGTATGTTTCTGTAATACTTTTCTTAATATTCTTGTTTCCTACACACATTCTAAAATTTTGTATTTTTTTCTGTTACATTTTTTCATTTGCAATAATTTGTCGCTAATTTTTCCTCACGCACACGATATGCTTGTACAATTCCAATCATATATCGATATTGGCTGTTTGTATGGTGTTAAACACCGACCCAGCGATGCCTTGCCCTTCAACGTTTATTAAATGCTGTTGGAATAATGCCTAAAAAATGTATCACCATCGGGTAACGGTAGTAAAGAAAAAAATATTTTTTTATTAGATTCGTTATAAATTCTTCTTCTTGAAAAATTGTGTGTCGTATTTTCTCTTTTAACATATTAATATTGCTATAAGCTTTAAAGTCTATAGTTTTTTTTTTTTTGAAAATTGCACAAAATGTAACAGTGTTTCTGAACATCTGGAAATGTTTCAATATGTTTGTGCAATCTGTTAACTCCGTCTTGCAGGGCTACTATATAATGCTGCCGGATTGTTCATCAACCACAGTTTTAATCATCATATTTCGTCACCCACTTGTTGATGAGTACGTTCGCTACTACATAGTTCAACCTCATGATTAGGAATTGGATATACTTTCTTGCTCTTCTGATTGTGCGAACTTCTTTGTTGGTATAAACGTGTATGCACGTCTTCTTGTGTTGCATCTCTGTCATTTTTGAGGTCACCTATGGCAATACTAGCATTGCCATCTGCGACATTGCAGCCAAAAACGTGTCCAAGTTCATGTTTTCTGCTAACCGTGATTGTAATTTGGCTCTTAATCCATTTGTTGCTAAACCACGTCGCTCCAGCTTCTTTTTAAGGTGTGGAATCTTCATATGTGGATGGAGTCATGTGTAGAAGTTCACGCAAGTGAGGAAAGTTCTTTGATCGCCAGAAAATATTCTTTTACATGTGACTCAAGTAGCTCACGACTTCCGGTCTTTGACCAAGTATCCTCTGGGTAGCATCAGCTAAGAACATCCGTTTGAAGGCGAAATATTCCCTCCACAGGGTTGTGAGCAGGGTTTGGGACCCGCCACTTAAAAAAACACCCCCAATGAAAAGGAACAATTAGCCTCGGATGAGAGATAACCCTTTTGATGACGACCATGGCAAACAAAATAAGGACTACAGATTGAGGGCATGCACCTGGAATGTTCGGTCCCTTAATTGGGAAGGTGCAGCTGCCCAGCTGGTGGATATCCTCGTGAAAATAAAGGCTCACATCACCGCCGTCCAAGACATTCACTCCGGTGAATGAACATTTAGCCACAATCCGCATCAAAGCGAGTTTCTTCAACATATCGCTTATTTGCGCCCAAGCCCCGACGGATGAAAAGGACTAAATTCAGCCTCCACGACGAAACATCCCCAATTGGGGAACCACGGCTGATCGACTTCGCCGGGGCCCGAAACATGGTTATCTTTACTACTAGATTCCAGCATAAGAAGATTCATCAAGCTACCTGGCACGTCTCCAGTGTTTTAGATGTGCGTGTGCTCCGAGGTCCTAACATCGACTTGGACCACTAACTTGTTGCAGCCAAGATACGCACCCGTCTTTGTCAGGAAAAAATGCACGTAAACAAACACAAGGAAGGTCTGACGTCGAGAAGCTGCAATCAAAACAGACAACCGAACGGTTTTCTACTCAACATGCTCTCTGAGAGCTCTCATCAGCAACTCGATATAAAGGAACTGTGGGACGGCATTTCGTGCTGCTTACATACTGCTTTAAATAAAACCATTGAGGGATCTGATAAATACCGACATCTTAAGAGGGGAGAGAGACGCATTTGCAGAAAAACAAAAGAGAGGCTGAAATGCGTGAGTATGAAGATCTTGGCAAGCTGGCCGACGGGGGTAATGCTCGAAAATTCTACGAAAAAATTCCGCGACTAACATAAGGTTTCAAGACCGGAGCATACTTTTGTAGAACCACCAGAGGTGATCTAGTAACCGATGCCCAGAGCATACTGAAATTATTGAGGGAACACTCTTCCAGCCTGCTGAATGGCAGTGAAAGTATAACTTCAGGAAAAGTCGAACCCGATTCCCCATTCGATGACGATGGAGAGACAAAAGCATGTCCAACGATTGGAATTTAAGTGTGCTCTGCCCAATCCACAAAAGGGAAATGCCACAATATGTGCCAACTACCGTGGGATAAGCCTCCTCACCCTCGCATATAAGGTTCTATCGAGTGTATTGTATGAAAGAAGAACAAACTGATTAGACCTTATCAGTGTCTCTTTAGGCCTGGAAAATCAACAACTGAC